ATTCGCCTAAGAATGGAAAAACTGCTATTAGAACAATAGAAAATAGAAAATATGTTTGGATTTGATGTAAGCACAGCTCCATAAGCATTTCCTATGTTTATCATTTGTAAGAATCAAAAGAATTATCAGAGAGACCATGGATGTAATGAGAAATTCACATCACTTGTCATGGATCAGAAATGGCTCTGATGATTTACAACATAACTTGAACTTGTCATGACCTAAAAATGAGGGAAATAATGCCCATATACCTAAGTTAATCATTGTTGCAATGAGGCTATTAGCTAATGATGGGTGAGAGTAATGGTATCCTCAACTTGGATTCCAGACATTGCTTCTTCCTGCCCCCTAGCAGTGTGTGGCCTTGGGGATGATGTGCTGCACTATATAAGAGGTGGAAAGTTAACTGGAGACCGAACTTTGGTGGAGCAGCTTTCCTGTCAGCGGCCAAGCTGTGGCGGGACTCCACAGAGATGCAGCTGTCTTTGACTCAACCAGGTTCCTGTAAGTAGCTCTTCTCCAGACTTCCGCCAGTTGACCTTAATCATTGCATTATTGTACAAAGCTGGTTTGGACAGTTTACTTGTTATGGTGTTATTTTCCCCATATATGAAGTGAATAGATATTTGTTAATAACTGGCCCATGGAAGTAAAACAGGTAAAGTTTAGAGGAACTTTCTAATCATTTCTCTAGATAGTAGCTATACAGCCCCTCTTAGAGCAGTGGTTCTTGAAGGGGAGCCTTCCTTCCCAGGAGACATTTAGCAGTGTCTAGAGACATTTAGCATCATCATGGCTTAACTAAGGTAGAAAAGAGGCATGTTATGTGTGTGTGTGTGTGTGTAGTGGCAGGAAGTTGTATGTCTACAGAACTCTGATTGATGAATAAAGTTCCAGAGGATGGAATTATCAATTTCACAAAGTCAAAATTCCAGAAATTTAGAATTTTAACTGTAATGCATATACGTAGAATTCCTAACAATTACAGAAGGAAAAAGTAACATAAAGTGATTATGATGTCTTTGTTATGAGTTGTTGACTGGAATGATGTATTCATATTTTATCCTGGCGACAAGTCAATGAGGTTAACAAATACACATTTATACAGTATTAAAAAGATCATTCTAGGAAAATAATCTTTCAACATGCATAAAAGCTGTACAAGTTTACACAAGACCAAATACCAGAAGAGAAGGGGAATTGGAAACACAATCCTCTACCCCTGAAGCTATTGGCAATTGTTGGGAGGGGATAAGATTTGTTTTTCAATGTGTAGGTTCTTGTAATTTGAGCACGCTCTAGTAGAGAGTGTACATCAAACAATATTTGGGTAGCACACATGGGCATTGGATGTTTCATTTTTGTTTTTCTAATGACGCAAAGTTGTGTGAGTGAGAAAGCTGTGTAGTATATGGACCTGGGAAGAGCTGCGGAATGTGACGTGAACATCAAAACACGTAAAAATTCTTAAAGAGCAGAAAAGGAGGTCCACTTGCTTTTATTTCCTCTTATTTACCAGCAAGATGGATTACCAACATGAATAAACTAGATTGTATGAAGTGGTAAAACAAAATCATTAGCTCCTGTTAGGTTTTTAAAATCCTATAGACGATAAAGGAGAGAGCACATGTGTGTGTGTGTGTGTGTGTGTGTGTGTGTGTGTGTGTGTGTGTGTGTGTCTGTTTGTCTGTGTGTCTCTGTGTGTGTGCATGTGTAATATATTTGCTTTTCCTTTTAAAGGTGACTGATTATCTTGCATGCTACAGAATATTTTGATATTTTTATTTATTTTGAGTATTAAAGTTAATATTTTTCCATGAATAAAATTTACCAATTCCCTAATTTTCAGTTGCACATTTCCAAATCCATTTCACAAAGATTTTGTTTGCAAGAAGGTTTTTCAAACTAGTGTCACCAAAGGTATAAGTTTTCTTTATACTAAATAATGCTGATTTAGCATATCGAAGCTGTTAGATATGGATATGTCCATCATTCAAAAGTAAATTGATAATGATACCAATCTTTATCATTATCAAAAAATGTTAAAATTGTGTGTTATACAAAGTAGGGAAATATTGACAAAGGAGGAAACGTGACATTATGGTACCAAATTATTTATGTCACTTTGTGGCATAGGTCTACATTGTCAGTATTGGTATACAATTGTGTGTTTGTTCCCCTATAGGTTGAAGGTAAAGCTAATCCACTGAGCTTGCCTTGTTACACTAGTGCCCCAAACTGATATTAGACAAATATAGGGCCTGGCTCAGTGATTAATAACTATTGCTGCTATTTGGCTTAGTTCTCGGCACCCCATGGATTCTCACTATATGTACCTCTAATTCTCAGAGAACTGATATATAGACACATATGTATGTGTAAGCCAAACACTGCTATATGTAAAATAAAATAAACATATTTTTAAATGTTACAAAATCATGACTTAACTCTTCTTACAGAAAATCAGCAGCAATTGACTAGACAAATTGATCTGAACAGAAAGGCTTAAACAACCTGCCTTGACTTAAATTAAGCACCAAATATTTTTATAATGCAGAATACTCTTGGGCATAATTTTTTAAAGTGTAAAAAGTACATCCATGATTCAAAATAGGAATCTGAGAAAATATGATTACTTAGATTAATTTTCCTATTCGAAGCTATCTATTACTCCTATCGTGTTAAAAACTGTCTTCAGAGGAAGCCACTTTGACCATATAAGGCTTCCCTTGACAGGACAACTTTTGACAGCCCTGCAGGAATATATATCAGTGTTTCCTCTTCTTCTTTAACAGGGACACTGCTCCTACTACTGTCCAACCTGCTTCTATGGGACAATGTGGCATCAGTACCCATGTGTGCAATGAGGAATGGCCGCTGCTTTGTGTCCTTAAAAGACATGTTTCATATAGCAGGCAGTTTGTCTCATGAAATCAGTCAAGAAGTTTCAGGAATGCTCACTGAGTTTGTAAGTACCCCCACTGACTTCTGGCTTCTTAATCAATCAAGCCTCCATCACAATTGTTGTGATACTGTATAGCCTGAAGCAAAGCACACCATGATCTAAATCTTAGACAAGCATTCCTTCTCAAAGGATAAGAATACAGCAGCTCCCGAACTGTGGAGCCAGTAAGAGGGCAGTTGCATGAAATGTAGCCTCTGAGTTGAAACACTATTATTTTAATGTTTATCTACAGTTTAACATTCATTTTAATTGACTATTATGACCTAAAGACATTCAAGGCATAACAAAAGAAATGTTTCTCTTTTTCTTTATCTGGTGGGCTACTAGTCACACTTATTGCTTTATTTATTCATTTCCTTGTTTTACCTTTTAATGAAGATAGATATTTTTCTCACATACAGTTTCCTCTCCCATTATTCTTGTTAGAGCTTCCCCATGTCCCCTACTCTGGATATACTCCCTTTGTGTCTCTCATTAGAAAAAAATAAAAAAATGCCCCTTAGGGACAGTAATAAGATAAAATAAGATAAAACAAAACTAATACATCAGAACAAATAAAAGAGCTCAAGAGAAGGCACAAGAAACAAAGACCCACTTGTTCATACACTCAGGAATCCCATAAGAACATCAAACTGGAAGCAATAAGATGTACACAAAGGACCTGATGCAGACCTGCAGACCTACGCAGGCCCCGTGCACCCTGCCTCAGTCTCTGTGAGTTCATATGTGTATAAATTTTGTTGATTTAATGGTTAAAGGACCTTGGTTTCTTGATGTCTTCCTTTCCCTTTGGCTCTTAGATTCTTCCTATCTCCTCTTTGTCAGGGTTCCCTGACATCTGAGTAGAGGACTTTGATGGAAAAAATTTTCATTTAGGGCTTACTGGTCCAAGGTCTCTTTCTCTCTGCATAATGCCGGGCTATGGCTTTCTGTATTTGTTCTTCTGCAGGTGGAGGCTTCTCTGATGATGGTTGAATGAGACACTGATCTATGAGTATAGAGGAATATCATTAGGAGTCATTTTATTTTTACATTTTTCTTTGGTTTGTTTGTTTGTTTTAAGAAAGTAGTATTTTGTTTTATCCTAGGTCCAGTTTCAGGTTCTCAGTCACCCACACGGTGTTGGGTATGGATCTAACCTCTCTTGGGGTTGGTCTTAAGTCAAATCAGTTATTGCTTGTTATGTACCACTGTTGCCGTAGGATATGTTACAGGAAGGATATGTTTGTATAACGAAGAGTTTGTGGCTGAGCTGGTCTTTATGTTTCTCTTTTGATAGTGCACAGAGTTCCTTCCTGTTCCAAAGATATTAGAACACAGGAGGGATGGCCTATGGAGGCACCAGATCAATTTATCCATGTTCAATGAGTTCTATAGGTGTTGTCTTTAGCAATGGGGCCTTGTCATCAGTTTGTGGGAAGCAAATTATAGTCTTGGAAAAAATACAGCCTAGGTTGTTTGATGGTTTCTAACTCCTTTGGCCTACAACTCAATTTAGATATAACCCAATACTGGTACTAGAAGCTTCATTTGGTGCCAAGAGGTGACCATATGGGGATCTGTCTCCACCAGTACTTGAAGTTTTCTTTTAGATCAACTTCATATATAGATATATATATTTAGAAAGCTTACACTGTATAGGTTTTCATGCTACTCTTAAAAGACCTTTAATTTTAGCAATCTTCTCATATCCCCTTTCTCTCCTAAATTTATTCTACTATTCTAGCCCTTCCCCTTTCTATTGGACACTACAGAGCTATAATAAGGAAACTGCATTGTAGTGACTTGTAAGAAGTAAATAGAGTTAAAGACACTGAGACAAAGACAAAGAGAGCAAGAAAATTGATAATTGCTCTTCATATTCCCAAATGTTATGAGCTATTTTTATTTAGATTAAAAACAATCTCATTTTACATATCAATCCCAGTTCCCTCTCCCTCGCATCCTCCCATGCCAACCACTGAACCCCCATCCCATCCCCTTTCTGCTCCCCAGGGAGGATGAGGCCGTCCATGGGGAATCATCAAAGTCTGTTATATCATTTGGAGCAGGGCCTAGGCCCTCCCCCATGTGTCTAGGTTGAGAAAGTATCCCTCTATGGGGAATCAGCTCCCAAAGTCCATTCGTGTACTAGGGATAAATACTGATGCACTACCAGAGGCCCCATAGACTGCCCAGACCTCCTAACTGACACACACATTCAGAAGACCTGGTTTGGTCCTATGTTGGTTTCACAACTGTCAGACTGGGGTCCATGAGCTCCCCCTTGTTCAGGTCAACTGTTTCTGTGAGTTTCCCCAGCCTGGTCTTGATCCCTTTGCTTGTCATTCCTCTCTCTCTGCAACTGGATTCCAGGAGTTTAACTCAGTGCTTAGCTATGGGTTCCTGCTTCTGCTTCCATCAGCTACTGGATGAAGGCTCTAGGATGGCATATAAGGTAGTCATCAATCTCATTATAGGGAAAGGACAGTTAAGGTACCCTCTCAACTATTGCTTGGATTCTTAGTTGGGGGTCATCCTTGTAGATCTCTGGACATTTCCCTAGTGCCAGATAGGGGTCATTTCTATCATTCATTATGAGCTATTTTTGATGAATTAAAATATTTGATTTTTAGCAAGGGAGTATGGCATATACATGCAGGGCTATTGTTTAGGTCTTTTGATGAAGACACTTTGAAATCTGTATGTTAGATGTTCTACCTCCGTCAATGAAGTCACAGTCAATGACTTCTTCACATCAATGGGCTGTAAGGAATCAGTTCAATGCTTGCAAAGCCTATTATTCCTGTCACTCATTTTACACGCTATTGATTCTCTCATTTACATTTCATGATAGGAGTCACCACCAAGATCATCTTAAACATATTTTGAAACTATCAAATAATTCTCTAATAGTAGTTTTAAATCATAGATAATACAAATAATAAAGAGTAGGGATGCATATAACAAATAATTAAATGTTGATTAGTATACAAAAGCAAAATAATTTCCATTTTTAGTTGGCTCATATTTCCTAGCACATTATATGCAGGGTTCAAGACTTATTTTGTCACAACCAACACAACAGTTTTCTGCATCCCTAATGAACTAGGTTAAATTTTTTTGCGTATATGCCAAGTTATTTGCAAGAAATGTTACACATTGTGGCATGGCATCTTTTACAAGTGACACATAAAACAATGGTGTTTAGGAGCATTGCTAATTTTAACATCTGCTTGACAAATCACAACTTCAAGAAACATTGAAAATAGTGAAAAGCATTTGGGAAATTTGATGAATTTAAACTGATACTACAGATAAAACATAAAATGTTAAAAGTCTTCCCCAGGGATGAGCCACTAATTTGGTATTCAATACCAAATAATCATCCCTGCAATAATATATACACGGGTAACATTAAACAGTTTCTCGGGTTGAGTGTGTGTGTGTGTGTGTGTGTGTGTGTGTGTGTGTGTGTGTGTGGGTGTAACAATGATGATCAAATAATAACATGCAAAGAATTAAGAGAAAGAGGGAAATGATAGGAAGAGTTAGAGAGAAGGGACATGGGAGGGGTTGGAGACAAGAAAATGAAGAGGGAAACACATAATTGTATTTTAATTAAAATAATTCTCAAAGCTCATTTATTTAATAACTAGTTTCCGTTTTTAGTTCTTACTTTAAATGCATTAGGTTTCTTCTCATTTATTCCTTTCACAATTTCCACTCTCAACTGAATATTTTCACAATTCAGAAAAACCACTATGCTGAAGTCCATGGGCTCCAGAACACACCGGTCACCAGCTGCCACACTTCTTCCCTCCCCATTCCAGCCAACAAGCAACAAGCCAGGAAAACAAACGTGAGTCCTTACTCCATGTATTTTTAAAGAAAACTTTTGAAACATTATACTGGGTTATTGTACTGTAAAATGTATTGTCATAGACATGATAATCATATCTCCAGAAAAATGGAAACAGAATATACATAAAAGGAAAAACTACATTATACAGTTGTTGTTTAAATTTGAGGTCCTCCCATGTTGAGGACCTTTTTCCTTACCCATCAATGGGATTCTTCATATTATTCTGCTATGGTTTTTAAATTGCCATTGACATTCAAGGATAAAGATGTCCTTGAATCTGCAGACTCAGACGCAGACTTAGACAATGCCAATACAGCTGTATTTATCCTGTGTTAGTAATGGAACCTGTGTTTAAAAACCAGTTAACCATCTCTTCTTGGCTCCTAAGTATCTTCTGTTTCAGTTTCTGTTTCTGATTTTGACTTCATTCCTAATTATCCTTACCTGTGCCATGCCTAAAAGTCAGCTAAAGGAAGGAGTACAATATAGACTGTGCGGTGTTCAGTAATGTACAGCCATACAACCTTGTGTTTATAAGTCTGCACTTCTGGCTCCTCTAAATCATTATGTTTATTATCTCTCAATTCTGAATTCCTACATAAATCATCACAATATTATTTAGATTAAATATTATCATACAGCATTATACATCTCCACATTTAGAATATGTCCTCTGTGCTGTGCTTAATGGTAAAAATATTTTGTATCTCTATAATTCTTATTAAAGCCAAATGAAATAATGAAGGAAAGTGAAAAACATCAAAATGAATAAATAGATTCTGTTTCATGAGAGTCAACACTTCTCTAAAAGCTTCATAAGGCATTCTACTGGCATTTCTGAATTTAATTTACTCTAAAATTCTAAATCACAATGCCATTTTTCACAATGCCATTTTGTTGGTATCACCTACAAAACTTTATTTAAAATATATATTTAAATAGCAAAGGAGAAGTTTCTCACTCTTTTGAAGAAAAAATGCCTGTATCTAACAATTTTTATTTTGATTATCCTAATGTAATTATTCCAATGTGGTTACTTAGTATGAAGTCTTACTGAAATCAGCGAACACTCTTTTGAGTGCCTGGAGCAATCCTCTGCAACACCTACAGAAAGAACTAGCTACTTTGAAAGGAGTCCCTGCTGGTGTCATCTCCAAAGCCAAAACCATCAAGGAAAAGGACTCTGGACTGCTGGAGGGGGTTAGGAACCTTTACAACATGGTGAGATGTTCCCATACACTTCTCTTTGCCTTTCTTCTCATAAACGAGGTGACAAGAGCAAGGATAATTGAGTTTTGAAGCATTTTGATTTGCAAAAACAAAAATAATGGCATTAATTTAAAAATGAAAACAAAAAAACAAATACTTTGGCATACAAATATCTAAAATGGCACACTATTAAGTGGCTGCTGACAACTCCAACCTTCTGTGGTGAGTTTTATTCAGATCTTAAACATACGTGCTCCTTATTTAAATTTGTACAGTAGCATTTCTGCTCTGAAAGACAGACACCTAAGTACATGAGCAGGTATTTTTAGCAGCATCATCCCTTGACTATTTGCATCTTAAACCATCAATCATAAAAATTGTTACATCTCAGGTAACAATGTACACATTATATAAAGAGTTGAATTGGTTGAAAATAAAATATATTTTGTTAGAAAAATGTATTTTCAATAAATGAAAAAGAACAATAGTTCAATACCAGGTCTTATTAAGAAATAAAGGAAAAGTCAGGGACTGTTGAGGACATGCATCATTTCTTAAATGACATGATGGACATTTATTCTTTCATTCTCTTTCCTCAAATCCATGTTTAAAATCCAGTAACTTACTGATCTCTCAACTTCTGTAAGAATGTAATTGATCAGATAAAAATTGCAAGCACCAAATCTTTGTGTTTACCTTGTCCAACATCAATGAAAATTCATCCATTTAGCTGCTTTTGGCAATTCTAACTTTTTACAAATCTTCACTAAGTATTTAGATAGGATGTACACCAAAAATTCTTATATATAATTGATAGTTGACTATGCTTTTGGTGATCAGATTGGAAATGGAGAAACTGAAAACTACCCTGCCTGGACTGAACTGGCATCCTTGCAGTCAGACGATGAAGATGCTCGAATTTTGGCATTTTATAACATGATCAGCTGCCTAAACCGTGACTCTAAGAAGATTGACATTTATCTCAACATTCTGAAGTGCAACATTTCCAAACCGAACAACTGCTAAGCCTTCTTCCGTCTGATCTGCTTCTGAAATATGTGGCATCCTTCAAACTTTTTAACTTTTTCATAATGTTATTGTTGTCTCATTCAAAAATAAAAAGTGGCAGTTTCCTTTGTACCAGGTTTCTACCTGATACCAAATATCACCTATTATCAAGATATCCCTTTCAGTATTCTCCCCCTCCATCCAGACCCTAACTTGATTCCTCAAATTACCATCTCCACTGCTCCACTAATCTGCAAGGATTATCACAGCTAAGATTCCTAGCAGTGGTGGATAGGTAGCCTGAACTGGCCCTCTCCTGTAATCAGATTAGTGAGTACACCAATTGTCATCAGAGAGTCTTCATGAAGTGACTGATGGAAACATGCAGAGATTCACAACCTAGCACTGGGCCGGACTTTGGAAATCCCATTGTAGAGGAGTGAGGATTGTAAGAGCCGTGAGCATCAAGGTCATCACAAGGGAACCCACAGCTCATAGGGCTCTAGGGCTCATAGCTCCTAGAGTCTGGACCAACACCTAGGTACCCTGCATGGGACCAACTTAGGCTCTCCACATATGTACAACAGTTGTGTCATTTGATCTACTTGGGGACTCCTAACAGTGGGACCAGACCAGGTACCTAATGCTTGTCTGGTTTTGGGGAACCTATTCCTCATGCTGGATTGTCGTTCCCAGCCATAATGCAAAGAAAGGAGCTTAGGAAGGAGAAGAGGTGAAGGGAATAGGAGGAGAGGAGGGAGGGAGACAGTGGTCAGAATGTGAAATAAAAATAAATACATTTAATAAAAAATCAAAATAGAAAGTGGCTCCATTAGTGCAAAAATCTCAATGGTGAATTGGTCAAAACTTCTATTAGTGATTTAATGTAACATTCTATCCATACTAAACACATTCCAATCACGTACTTGCAAGTAATGGAAGTCAGACATGCAACCAACACATTTCATAACTAATTTAACAATTGGGAATTTCTATTGTTTGTCAAAGTTTAAGAATCAAGAAATGGTGTTTTTTAGGAATCTTCTAGTGAGCCTATAAAACTAGGAATATTTGGGATGATTAACAAAAGCCACACACTCCTGATCACACAACTTGCAGAGTTCTGAAAAACAATATGATAATGATGGGTGTGCACAATTCCAAATATTGCAAAGTTTTCAAAAAGTTTCAAACATCTCAGGACACAACTATTAAGTGGTTCTTGATTTATTTTTTAATTTTTTATATAAATTAAAAACAATCTTATTTTATATCAACCACAGTTCCTTCTTCATGTAGTCTTCCCACTCCCCCGACAATATCCCATCATACCCCTACCATTCTTCAGAGAGGGAGAGGCCCCCCATGGGGGGATCATCAAGGTTCTTGATTTCTTTTTTTCCTGTTTTTTATTTAAATTAGAAAGAAAATTGTTTTACATGTCAATTCCAGTTCCCTCTCCCTTCCCTCCTCCCCTGCTCCCCCCACTAACTCCATGTCCCACCTCCTTTCTGCTCCCCAGGGAGGGTGAGGCATTCCAGGGGGGATCTTCAGAGTCTGTCATATTCTTTGGGATAAAGCCTAGGCCCTCCCCAGTGTGTCTAGGCTGAGAAAGTAACCTTCTATGTGGAATGGGCTGCCAAAGTCCATTCTTATGCTAGGAATAAATACTGATCTACCAGAGGTCCCATAGATTGCTGAGGCCTCCTCACTGATACCCATGGTCAGAGGGTCAGGATCAGTCCTAAACTGTTTTCCTTCTTCAGTCATTAGTATTTTGACTAATAATCTTTGTGTTCTTATTTTATCATTTTAGTCTAATAACTCAATATCTGAAATTTTTAGTTTTCAGATTCATCATTCCTTAGTTTAGCCTATATATATATATATATATATATATATATATATATATATATATAATCTACAGAGATAAAAATATCTATGAGCTCACATAGAAAGGTGATAAAGGCAATGAAAATGAGAATTGAGACAATACAAAATATCTGTACATGCTGTTATTTGTCTTCAAGGTAAGAAGGCTTGTCCTACAAAATCAGTAATCCAAGAATATATGGTGCTATATTCTAGTGAATATTATAAAGAACTTTTCAGCTACTTTTGTCTGTACTCCTCCAGTTTAGGCATAAACAGATGTGCACTCACCCCATATAAGTCAAAGTAACATCAAAAAAGTCCATGAAATCTTTAAAAAAAAAACAGTGCAGTATTTAAGTAAATGTAGAGTACTTTGTGTGATGAGATATTCATGGAAGCAGGAAGTCTAGAGAACGACATCTCTGAGAAGTCATACTGCAGATGAGTTGCAAAATCCATAAAGCAGTTTCATTTCAGCTTCCCTGAAGAACTGTCCTTATCTAATTTTCCACTTCCTGCGTAGTTTATTTGCCATCACCACATCTACATATTGCTAGAGGACAGCAAGGAGCAATGTCTGGAATCCAAGCTGAAGGTGCTATGAATCTCAACTCAGAGAGTATGAACAATTGAGTTTTTAGAACCAACAAAGCTAGGTGCATCTTTATTGTTTAACTTATTTTCTGGAAACAATTAGGGCTGGATCATAGTTTTCTACATTTTTATTCACTGAAAACTGATAAGAAGTTCATGACCAATTGGAAAGAGTTATTTACCAGATCTTCATCCTGTTATTCATATTCTTACATATCTATTTCAACAGTTCAATAGTTAGGGTTTCTATTGCTGTGGTGCAATACCATGGACAAAAAGCAAGTTCGGGAGGGAAAGGCTTGTTTGGCTTATATTTCTGTATCACCATTCATCATTGAAAGAAGCAATGACAGGAACTCAAAGATGACAAAAATTCAAAGGACAAGAACCTGGAGTCCGGGCAGTACAGAGGCAGTAGACAAGTGATGCTTCCTGGCTTGCTCCTCATGCTTTGCTCACCCTGCTTTCTTACAGTACCCAGGTCCACCAGCCCAGGGATGGAACTACCCACAATAGGCTGAGTCATTCTCTATCAATCATTAATTAAGAAAATACCCTATACATATACCCAGAAGGCACTTCATCCTACCACAGGGACACTTGCTCCACCATGTTCATTGATGCTCTACTAGTAATAGTCAAAAACTGGAAATACCAATAATGTGCCTCAACAGAAGAATGGATAAAGAAATTGTGGTTTATTTATGCAAAGGAGTATTACCTTTAAAAAATGACATCATAATATTTGAAAACAAATGCACAGAACTAGAAAAAATCATGAATGAGGAAACCAGACCCAGAAAGTTAAATATGGTATGTAGTCAATTATATCTGGATATTAGTAATTAATTAAATGATAACCAAGGTGCAATCTATGAATCCAAAGAGGTTAGACATAGAGGAAATGACTAAGGGGGGAACATCTAATAAAACATGTAAATATCTTATTGCTTGTTCTACTTCTTTCCTACAGTGGGAAACTTTTGATACAGCAAGGGAGATAAGAGGCACTTTCTTGTTTAGTTCTCCATAAAGCACTAGTGTAGTTCCTGTTCCTTATCAAATTGAAGTGAGCTAGAGAGAATGTGATAAAAACATAAGAGTCTTCATCTTGATCTTGCCACAGTACTTGGCAGCACAATAAATGTTATCCTGGAGTTATAGGCATAGAAAGGAAAGGGCACAGGGCACATTTAACCTTGCCTCAAAGTTGTGGTTCACCACTGAGGAGGAGCGATGTGTTGTAGAGTCAGACTCTCTGATTTTTGAAAGTTCTGTGTGAAGTTGTGGAGGTAAAGCCCAAACAGCAATGCCACCCCTAGTTTATGGGAGATGCCAAGTCCCTTAGATGTCTTCAGGTGAAAACAGTATACATGGACTAGACCCAGCTCAACATAGAAGTGTTGGTTATACAAGCTTCATATATTAGAGGGCAAATCCACCAAAAAAGATTTTATCTCATATTTAATGACACCCAGATGGCAAACACATAGCTGCAGGATTGGTAGCTTTGCCCACTGGGCATTTATCTTGCTTTTTTCTGACCTTCCCTGTTATCCACCCAGTTCTCCCTCTTGGACTTGGAATAGTGCCTCTTAACTTTGCATATTAAAAGCTGTATCTTGGTTTTGATTTTTTAGGATCTCATATTTCAGAGATACCATGAATTTCAGCAGAGAATTTAGAGTTTAAAAAAACATTGGTACTATTACAATAGCATTGAACATATACAACTGGGCTGAATACACATTCCCTATAAAATGTCTATGATCCTATGGAGGATGATGGTGAGAAGTTAGAGGTAAAATGTGTGAGAGTGACAAATTGTCAAGGGTTCGTATTGTGATTTTTTAACATTGATTGTCAACTTCACAAGATCAACCACGGAGGATACAAAGTGATGGGGGAAGTACTTCTGTGTATGTTTATCTTATTGATTATTGAGTAAAATACTGTTTGGCCAATGAAACGGCAAGTTAGGCAGGACTAGGAGTCAAAGAGGATTCTGGGAAATGTAGTAGAGAAGTGCTGATCCAGGCAGGAAGTGACATAGCAAGGAGACCCATATTTAAGCGAAGGAGAAACAGGAAGGGCCCTTTTTTCCCGTTCGCCTCCAGCAGCAGGATGTGAGCCACCGGCAAGGAGGGACGCCAATAAGGCGTCCGATAAGATAAGTCTTATAACATATATAGATTTATGATAATTAAGACTGAGCTAACAGATGAGAATCCTAGTCATTGGCCAAGCAGCATTGTACCTAGTACAACTTTCTGTGTATTTATTTGGGCCTAACTTGGGCAGGCGGCTGGCATAAAGCTCACATGTGGCAGTGGGGCTCAGGCAGCTTTTGGCAGAAAGATTTATTGTAACAACAAAGTCCTTGGCATGTCTCAGAGAGAGATTCTACATTGGGATAACAGAGGTAGGAAGACATGCCCTAAATGTGAGACCTAACATTCTTTTTATATCTCAGTCTTAATGGAAAGTAAAAATCAAGAGCATCAACATTCATCTCTCTCTGATTTCTTTTTCATAGGTTCTTGGATAGG